TCTTATTATTATGAAAGGAAGTAATTGCATTTTAATTTTGAAATTATGTTTATAAGATTAAATATCATGTCTAATTGTTGAATGAAATATATTTCTGAAAGAAATTGAATTTCCTTCTCAAAATTTTTCCAAAATGCATTTTTATGTAAAAGGGTGTGTAATCATATAAAAGGGTTTTGAATTGTTTAAGCTACTTTTTTTTGAATTTCTTTTATATTCAAAAAAAAGGTTCTAATACCAGGGATTAAATGCAAGAACTTTTGAGGTTACTGTTTTTTATACTTATAGGACTCAATAAGAAAGTTCCAACACTAAGTAAAAGATCCAATGCTCAGTAAAAGGTCCAACACTTTTGCGAACATTCAACACCAACAGTCAAGAAATTTAAAAGGGAGTCTGGAAACGAAGGAAGTCTGGAACTCAAGTTTGAAAGGTAAGTTTTACATTCCAAATCAAAATTAATACTTTCCAAATTGAGGGCAATGGCTGGAAGCCCTAATTGAGCATTCTTAGAGAATAAATAGAAGTCATTGGAGGCTAAATCATGTAAATAGAAAAGAAACAAGAGCTGTTATCTTTAAGAGAAAAAGAATTATAACTTTTCATAATTTTTGTGCTTAAATTTTTCATTTTGATTATCTGTGATCATTGTTCTCTTCATTCTCATTCATCAAGAAAAGTGAGAGAAAGATTGAGTAGTCTTGTTAAATCTAGAAAAACCATCCTAATGATATAAGATTGGGTTTTTGAGAATTATAATAAAGGCTTAGTTTGTTGAAGGTGGATAGCGCTGAGAAATCTATTGCAAATGATTTCCTCTACAGCTTAAATTTAGAAGAGAAACTTTGAATTCAAAGCAAACTCTCAAGCAAGTGACTCGAGGAGTGAACTAAATACAAGTTGTGACCAAACCATTATAACTCATTGTGTTTGAGCTTTCCTTTCTTTTTCTCTTTTAATTTATGCATTTGTGATTGCATGAGCTTGTTCATTGATTTACACAGAAAAATTAAGTTTTCAAAAACCCAATTCAACCCTCTCTTGGGTTGCCATCATCTAAGCCAACAAAGAATTCTCTAGATCACCAACACTGAACTCTATAAGCCTACAAGCCCTCTTTGTAGAATAAACCCCATTCCCATTCAAGATCCAAATCCTCTTAGCTTATTTTTTTCTCCTTCATTAAACTGACAGGTCCTTAAAACCTCCCATCAAACCCTCTCCCAAATAAAGCCATTCTCCACCTAAAATCTCAAACACACCTTACTCCTAACCAATATCCCAATTGCACATACATACATTCCTTGCAAAAGATAAAGAACATAATTAAACTAAGAAAATTTCACTTTAAAGTTCTCCTACACAACCAACCATTTTCCTAGAAAGGACACCATTTAAAAGTTTAAACATTTCTTACCCTTGCTCCCTTTGTACCAAAGTACCAATCAAAATAGTATCCCTCCACACCCTAGATTGAAATATATGTTTATCAAACATAACTAGAGATATCAAGTCATCAAATCAAATTATAAAACAAGATAATACCAACATAAAAGATACAATACATTTTGCTATGAATGTACACATTTGTGTCCTCTTTTATCAAAATAAAGCTTCCTTCACAAAGCTAACTAATTTCCCCAAACTAAGACAAGACTACATACATATGTTTCTGCATGGCAAATATAACAAAACACACCTAAATTTATAACCTTTGCAAAAAATGGGAACATCATCAATGTGTTGTGTCCAAACGTTGTATGACACCAGATCCTTCCCATTATTACACTCCACAAGAATATGATCATCCTTCCAAAATAGCAATGGTGTTTTAGCAATTGGAAACAACCTTACCGTTGTTAATTGAGTCCAAACTCCATTAACTCCAGATTTATTCCTCACCCATACCTTCAACAATTTCTCTTGAAAAGCTAACCAGGGACATTGCACAAGGGAAAAGGATCCTTTCAGAATGTACAAACCATTATTGTAAAATCCACGAGAGTGGAAATCGTCCAGCATTGATATCTTCAAGAAGACCTCATTTCTTATATCAAATGAAACAATTGTTGAATGAAGTTCAGATTTTTTGAAGTTTTTGAATTTACTGTTCCATCACAAGCTGCAACAGTTCAGTTTTGATTTTTTACGTAATATGACCTTTGGTTGGATAGCTTTTTGTTAACCTTCTATCAGTATAAACACTTGTATAGGGGGCTAAAATTAAGCTACTTGTAGTTGGTAAACTACTTCATCTTTCTCGAAATCTTATAAAAGCAGGAATCAATAAAATTTACAATGTTCTGCTCATTTTTTCTCTCCATTTTTCCTTTGAGAAAAAACATTACAACAATAATCTCACAATGTTTTTCTCCTTGTTTGAGTTAGGTTCGTCCTTACTATAATATTCTTCCTGCCCTAACCAATAACAAGAACCATTCAAGTGTCTTTTGCATTCAGGGCCCTAGACAAAATAATCAGCAAAATACTTAACAAAAAAGAAGATTTCTCTCCAAGAGTTAGACCTCATAGTATAAACTTCAATCCTAACATGATCATCCACATTGGATTTCTAGATTCTTACCACTTTGTAATCACTACTTTTGGGATTGTACCCAAATCCAACACTACATGTAAAATAATTGGGGTCACAGTCACCGTCTGAGCTTTCGATGCAACCCTTTGGAAGTCTTCTTGATTGCCTAATTTCGGGCTCTAGTAAAACAACATCGTCATCCACAACTAGACAAATGATTCCATTACAATGGTCCAAAACTATGAGGTATGATTGGTATGAAGCTGTAGAACCTTCTTCAATTAATTTGCACACAAACGAACCAGTTTCTTCTTCATATGAGAGCCAAGACAAGGAATGCCTCATGCGATTCTTGGCAAAGAGAATAACATGGTGTTGGGTTTTGTTGGTGATTGCCAAAGAAAGGTGCCTAGATACAAAATCAGGCTTCTTGATGAGAACATGCCATGACTTGTGGACGCACTGGAATCGCTTTAGGGATTTGACTGGAAGCCAATACAAGATTTCCTAAATGATGTCTTTGAGCAGATCACCCATGTTTGCAATTGGATTGAAATTGACAACTCAATTTCTTGGATTAACAACAACTCAAACTCTAATTGTGTAAGGATAAGTCCGAGCTTAAGGACCTTGGACGTATTGCTATATTTCCTTAATGACCGAGATAAGGCGTAAGTTCAATTCTTCCCAGTTGTACAGTTGCATGATAGTTACAGTAGGCATGTCCACACCCAATCCTCCATTCTCGAGATCATCACCTAAATGGATACGTCAAACTCCGATTATCTCGTTAAGCAAGTCACGTGGATACCTTATTAAGGCCTATAAATATCCCTCAGGGGACCACCTCAGAAGGTAATTGAAACCAACCTAAAGTTTCTTTTTCCATAATTCTTAGAGGTAAACTAGATTATTACTGACTTAAGCATTAGAGTGTCTACCCTGATGATCCACCTTGGGGCTTTGCAGGTCAACCTGAAGAGAAGACTTGGATTGAAGAAGATCTACTGGCTCATTGTAATCACAAGTTGGGACTTAGGAGAGTTTACACTGAAACCTACCTTTGTAAATTGGGATTTTGTTTGTGGCTTCCACTACAAAGTTGAAGAAAACAACACTTGCCTCTTTGCTATCTCCATCTCCTTTTCTAAAGGCTCATATCCAAATAATCCAATTTCAAAAATGATATGATCAACTAATCGAAACAATTCGATTGGACGTGGGGCAGAATTGCAACTTTCCCAACAAGGGGATCTAACATTGTGTTGACACTAAAAAATAGAATAGATGGCATGGAACCATGTACTTTATTGATCAAGAATGGAGATTGCTTACAATAGAGAGAAAGTGGAGAAAATAATCTACCTCCTTAGATTGATCCTTGAGGTATTTATAAGATATTTACATAAAGTTATTCTAAGAATACAACTTTATTTGATTGGTGTTTGAATATTCTAATTCTAGTAGAATTGAATCTATCTAATCTTGATAGGACTATTTTTAGGATGTCTCCACGTGTCCTAATTCTCATAGGACTCAAGTTAGAGCATAACATTTGCCCCCCAACAAAGAAAGTTTGAGGGTCACGAAAACTTGTTGAGTAGCTTGACTTCCAAATTTTGCATAGCTTTTCATATCTTTGCCTTTAAGAGGTTCCATCTTATTATGGCAAAGATTTTGTGACCGAGACTACCTCATTAAAAACCTTAGCTAGTAAAAAACCCTATGGAATAAAAAAACTAGCTTGAGGAAGAGTACATCATAAGTTTTTCGTTATTTTCACAGCTTTTGGTATGCTTTCTATCAATCTTCCATATGCTGTGCAGGTATCCTGATTTCTTTATTTGTATTTAGTTGTATTTTCTTCGAGATTTCTTTGTTGGTGTAGTCATTTTCCCTTGCAGGCTTTTTGACACATGTCCACCTTTTATTTGTGAGCTTGTACCGATGATTTGCTCTACATCTGCTTCTTGGTTTTGGCCTTTTCTTCTTCCTTTTTGACCTTATATATATTATTTTATTTCTAATTTGTTTCTTCAACTTCCTCTTTCCCGATTTCCTCTTTTTTCTTTTCTGATTTTTCTTCCTTCTTTTCTTCCGCTGTTCATACTTTCTTTCTTCTACTTCACCATTTTTCTATTTTGATGGAGGGGGATCCTTCAGAATTTGTTATTATAGCTCCAGTTACCCCAGATATTGCCGAGATGAGGGTGGATCTTATTGTCAAAGGTGATCCAAAAATTTCTCCAGTTGTTGCCGAGGCCATGACCGTTTCTCCTTCTGTTGTTAATAATTCTGTTCTTGCCTCTATTAGTTCAAAAGCGAGCCTTTCCAAATCAGAGTATGCCCATTACCCCTCCTTTTCCAATGGGGTTTCCTACAATTTTGTCTTCACAAGATGACAAATCTAGTCATTTTGGCCTTTTGTTGAACCTGCATATAAGGACATATATTTTTGGAAAAACATTTGGGTTACACTCTTTTGATGTTTCTTTATCTATTATGGATGTTTTAGTTTTGTTTTGTTATATTTGGATCTTATATATATATATATATATCTACATTCTTATGTTGCGGTGCTTTGGTTTTGTGTTTGGAAAACATCTGCTTGCTGAATAGATGCTCTATTTTTAACTCGAGTTTTGGTCACGCCCGGCATTGTGACTTTCAACGAAACTATACTAGAGCCTATGTATTTGGTCAGTTTATTGGCCTGCTAATATTCTAAAGCTGAGTGTAACCAAATTATAACTTTGATGAAATTGTGCGCGGCTTTTTATCAATCTTATAGGCCATCATAGTTTCTTATGGTGAAGGTATCCTCATTCACGAATGAGGATCCATAGTTTAACGATTAGTTAGTATATGCCATGTCTTCCATTTTCTTGTATAAAAGATATGTCAAGACACAACTTTACACCCCAATTGGTTACTATGGGTTTATGTTGCAAAGTCTCTCATATATTTGAGAATTGCATTAACCTTCATAGCCTCTCTTGTGTAGTTTTTGCTCGAGTATTTATGTATGTCATAACTCAAATTTTTAATA